TTAGCACCACAGGGAGGCTGCTGGTCGGCGAGGCCAGGGCAGCCCATGGCTTCCGTGTGCGTGTGCAGTCAGCTGGTCCTCCCCACAGGCCCCGGGCTTGTAGTGGAAGAGCCCTTCCCAGTGAGCGCAGGGGTCCTTCTCCTCACCCGTCTGCCACGCTCAGCAAGTCAGCCCCCTGTTCACTTGTGGGGCTGCCCTGAGACTGCCTCTTCTTACCAAACGGGCACCTTAGTGGAGGGGGCCAAGGCCCCATTGATGCCCGTGCCTTGCAGGTGAATCCCAACAGCATTGCAGCCAAAGATGGCCGGATCCGCGAGGGAGACCGTATCATCCAGGTGAGCTTGGGGGACAGGCTCTCTCCTGCTCAGAGCCTAGCCTGAGGCCGGGCAACCCCCCACCCCCGTGCCTGAAACCAGAGCTAGGACTCACCTCTCTGCTGCACAACCACGCCCCCAGCTCCTGTGTGCCCATGGGATCTGCTGGCATGGCAGGCCACTTGCCAGCCTTTCCCTCCGTGCCCCCGACTTGAGCAGGTCTCCCACTCCACATGTGTCTCTGAGCACACGTGCTCTTGGGTGGGCCAGGCGGTCTCTTTCCATGGCATCTTCCACTTGCCTCCATCTTGCCAGACCCCAAGAACCCATCCTGGCCCAGGGTGCTTGCTTTGTAGCTCTGGGGGAGGGGGACCCCTGTAGCTCAACTGGGGCCTGCCCCCGCACCAGCCCTGGGGTCTCCGTTGATGGTCCCTGGCCTGCCGCAGATAAATGGCGTGGATGTCCAGAACCGGGAGGAAGCAGTGGCCATCCTGAGTCAGGAAGAGAACACCAACATCTCCCTACTGGTGGCCCGGCCCGAGAGCCAGGTGGGTGTGTGCTCACTCAGATATCTTGGGCCCCCCGACGCTGGGTTAGGGTTCAGGCTTTCTGGCACCGATGGGGGGCGGGGGATGCATTTCCAGGGCCCATTGCCCTCTATGGCCTCTGATGAAAGGAGGGGGGGCTCTGGGGTGGTCCTTGAAGCCACAGGGACAGCACAGGCTTGTCTCTGCAGCTGGCAAAGCGCTGGAAGGACAGTGATCGGGACGACTTCCTGGATGAATTTGGCTCTGAGAATGAGGGCGACCTGCGGGCGAGGAAGCTGAAATCTCCCCCGGCCCAGCAGGTGAGGACGGAGGCTCACCCCTCCCTCCCACCTGATGGGGCCCCCACTGAGCAGGACTCCTCTTGCCGCCCCAGCTTGGACATGAAGAGGAAAAAGGGGCCCCCGAGGCGGGCCCAGGCCTGCACAACAGCCAGGAGCTGGACAGTGGGGTGGGCCGGACAGACGAAAGCACCCGCAACGAGGAGAGCTCTGAGCACGACCTGCTGGGGGACGAGCCCCTGAGCACTGCCAACACGCCTGGGCCCTTGCGCAAGTTCGGCCTGCAAGGGGACGCCCTGCAGAGCCGTGACTTCCACTTCAGCATGGACTCCCTGCTGGCTGAGGGCGCGGGGCTGGGCAGCGGTGACGTGCCAGGCCTCACAGACGAGGAGTATGAGCGCTACCGCGAGCTGCTGGAGATCAAGTGTCACCTGGAGAATGGCAACCCGCTGGGCCTGCCCTTCCCCCGGGCTGTGGCTGGCCACGGCGCCCTGGACGTCAACCGCAATGAAAGCGCGGGCCACGAGCTGGCCGTGCTGGAGGAGGAGCTGCGGCACCTGGAGTTCAAGTGCCGCAACATCCTGCGGGCTCAGAAGATGCAGCAGCTGCGGGAGCGCTGCATGAAGGCCTGGCTGCTGGAGGAGGAGAGCCTATATGACCTGGCGGCCGGCGAGCCCAAGAAGCATGAGCTGTCTGACATCTCTGAGCTGCCCGAGAAGTCGGACAAGGACAGCACCAGCGCCTACAACACGGGCGAGAGCTGCCGCAGCACCCCACTGCTGGCCGAGCCCCTGCCCGAGAGCCCCCTGCGGCGGGCGGCCGCAGCGGTGGGCAACTCCAACCTCAACCGGACCCCCTCGGGAGCCCCTGGCGCCGCCCACCCCAAGGCTGCTGCCCCTCCTCCCCCGGGGAGCCCCACCAAGTTCCGATCCCTCTCCCGGGATCCCGACGTGGGCCGGAGACAGCACTCTGCCGAGGAGCGGGTCCGCCACGGCCCCAAGATGGGGGTGGCCCTGGAGCGCGTGGGCCCTGAAGGCAGCCCCTACCTGTCACGGCGCCACCGCAGCCCGGGCCAGGAGGGCGAGCACTACCACAGCTGCCTGCAGCTGGCAGCCCCACGCGGCCTCGAAGACCTGGGCCCTGGCCCCTTGAGTGTGGCTGCCAGCCCCCGGGTGGGTGGGGGGGCGGTGGCCGTGGCCCCCGAAGCACCCCGCACGGAGTGGAAGGTCAAGGTGCGCAGCGATGGGACCCGCTACGTGGCCAAGCGACCCGTGCGTGACCGCCTCCTGAAAGCCCGGGCCCTGAAGATCCGTGAGGAGCGCAGTGGCATGACCACCGATGACGATGCAGTGAGCGAGATGAAGATGGGCCGCTACTGGAGCAAGGAAGAGCGGAAGCAGCACCTGATCCGGGCCCGGGAGCAGCGGAAGCGGCGTGAGTTCATGATGCAGAGCCGGCTGGAGTGCCTGCGGGAGCAGCAGAATGGAGACAGCAAGGCCGAGCTTAACATCATCGCCCTGAGCCACCGCAAGACCATGAAGAAGCGAAACAAGAAGATCCTGGACAACTGGATCACCATCCAGGAGATGCTGGCCCATGGTACGCGTTCGGCCGATGGCAAGCGGGTCTACAACCCTCTGCTCTCGGTCACCACCGTGTGAGCACCCTCTGTGCTCCCGGGCGCGGGTCCAGCGATCTGACCAGACCCCCGTCTCCCGCCCTCCCTTAGCATCTAGCGTATGTCTGTGTGTGAGCGTGGGACTTTGCTACCCAGATAGAAGCCCCTGCAGAGAAGGGATGCCTCTCCTCATCAGCAACTTCCTTCTTCCCAGGGAGAGCGACCACATCCACAGGTGGCCTGGGGACAGACCTGTATCTGCCTCCCTTCAGCCATGGGATGTGTGTGTGTGTGTGTGTGTGTGTGTGTGTGTGACATGAACCCAGGCACATGTATGCATACACACATGTACTTCCCTCTAGAGTGGCTACTTGGGGACAGGGAAGTCTGCTGAAAAGGAGAGGCAAAGAAGACTGTCCTAAGCACAAGAGAATGTCCATTATTTGTAGACAGAGGCAACCCTGATTTTTTGTGGCTCTTTCCCTTTTCTGTGCTTGCTAATTGTTTTGGTTTGTTTCTTTTGTTTTGTGGACCTGCTCTGGAGCCTGGCAGCTCCTTCAGGCAGCCTGACCAAGGTGGAATCCCCAAGTTATGGCTGGGAAGGAGGGGGTGGGGGGAAGAAGGGTGAAGCAAGAAGGGGAAGCAGCTTTGCTGGGGGCCTCTCCTCCGAGGTGTGGGGACAGGGAGCATAGGTGTAGCTTGCCAGGCTCACCCTGGAGGTCACCTCCTTCCCTGGTGGCTGTGGGGACAGAAGGGGCAGTCTCCATCCAAGACGTCAGGAAGCCCAGGCTGTGCCAGACGCCCCTGGAGCTTGCCTTCTCTCCTGAGTGGCAGGAGGGGTCCAGAAGCCAAGTCCCATGAATTGCAGCAGAAGACCCTCATGACGAGACCCACGCGGAGCTAGGGAGCGCCCTGGCACTGAGTGACAGGCAGGTGCTGCTAGCTGGGCGGACTGGGGAGCAGATGCCCTTGCACCCCACTTTGCCAGTGCAGACGGGGCCCCCTCAGGGACCTGTGTATCAGTAAGAGCTGGCCTCAGGATCCTTATGTAGTTCAGAGGACCTCAGATGGGAGGCAGACAGGCTGCCCATCCCTGCCCCCTGCCGGTGTCACAAGAATAAAGCAAGCTGCCTTTTGAGGGTGACTCCTGGTCTCCTGGTATTCATTCTCCAGCACTGGGGGCTGGTTTGGGGCTTGGTGGGTCACAGGGAAGCTGAGAAACAGGGAAGTGTCCTGCACAGTCTCTAGAATGCTGGGAAGGAGAGTGCCAGGATCATTTCCAAGGTCTGGCTTGGTCACAGGGATGGTACCCAGGTGTAGAAGCAGGGCAGAGACTGAGCTCAGGACTGGCAACGGCCTGGCACTGGCATGTGCCTGAGGCCAACGCCCTAGCTCTGGTCAGGTCCTAGAGAAGCGGTTCAGGGAGAGCCCTATGGGGCAATGGGCTGCGGTCTTCTGGAAGGCAACGTCTAGCACTCATGAGATGTAAATCAGTGTCTTTTGACCTGATGAGTACCAGATGGCTGTGCGAACTCCCAGAGGGTCCATTCAGCACTGCAGTCCTGATCAGTGCCAGGAACCCTGCCAAGTCTAGCAATTCCCGGGACCATGTGTGTGGCGAGCCCTTGAGCTTGGTCTCTTGAACAGACACAGGACAGGACGTTGCCAGCACCTTAAGTGGGTGGGGATACATTTAAACATTTTCTTGGAAGAACAAGAGACTTCCTCTGAATTTCTCTAATTTGCCAAGATTGGTGTGAGCAAGAAATCTGAGCCCATAGCAGAGTGCCCTGCTGTCTGAACAGCTGGGAGGGAAGACCCAGCATGGCACATGGAACACCAGTGGCTTCTTTGTGAAAAGGGACAAACAGCTGACACCCAAGGCCTCTGGAGCTGGGGGCTAGGCATGCCAACTCTAGGGACACGAGTGTCCTCGGGAGGGGATACTCCATACAGGTCCCCAAGAAGAATGGGGTCCCCAGGGCCCAACGCATCACAGAAAACTGGCTAGACCACGTGACCAAGGGCACTCACTTTGATGGCTCTAGAAGCACCTCATTCTTGCTCTGCGGTGGGGCGCCAGATGTCCAGGGCTCCCGGGATGGGGTCCAGGACGGGCCTGTAACCTTGGGACCCCTGGCCATGTGTGGCTCTGGTAGATGTGACATCACAATGGCCTGGACCAGTGACTTCACATTTGGGTCAAACCCTCTCCGGGCAGAGTGGTGATGGAGCCTGCATCTTAAAAGAGCACCAGGGTGGCCAACCTCTACCGTGCCTTTTTAGGAGCAGTGCTCAGCTAGCAGGCACCTCTGTCTCGAATACAGAAAGCCCCTCAGCCAGGGTGCCCTTGCCCCTTCCGGTCTTAGGGGCACTCAGCTGTGCCCTGGAACCTCCCCATTCCTGCCAGTCACCCCCTGCCCACCTGAGGGTGGGGGCAAGGAGCAGCTGGGACCTGATTCCAGAGGAGGTCCCCAGACAAGTCCCTCCATGCTCCCGAGGACAGAGCCTGGAGGAGACCCCCTACCCGCTCAGGTAGGTTTTGAGTCTACCCTCCCTTTTGGTGCAGCCTCCGTGAAGGCTTGTTATTCACTCTGGTAACAGGTGATGGGCACCAGGTGCTTTGCTGGCGGTTCCCAAAACAATCTCTCACCGATGGCTGGGAGGCAGCCAGGTCACAGCTGAGCAAATGTGTGCAGCGGGGAAGGACCCTAGGCACTCCCCCCTCACCCACCAGCGGCAGGAGGGAAACCAAACTAGGCAGGAGGGAGGGCTGTGGGTTGACTCAGAGCATGGAGCCTGCACAGGAATGCCTGCCAGGTGCTTGAGGGAGGGGGGTTGCTAGGAAGCAAGGTGCAAGGCCAGACTGGAAAGGGCTGACTGTGGGCTCCTTGGAAGCTCAGGGGTCTGTCTCTGCCTTTCTCTGGGCCCCACCTAATGCCATGAGATAGGAGCATCCTGGGGTTAACTGGCTGGAGCAGAGAGCCTGTAAGGTCTATCCCCCAGAGAGCTACTAGAACTCGATTCAACAGCATCAGCTCCATAGGGGTGCCTGCAATACCCCCCAGGAAAAACACATAAAGCACTGGTGTGTGGCTTGTGCCCCGAGTTCCAAAGCCCAGGAACCCTTCTGAAGGCCAGAAGGGCTGTGCCTGCATGTGCTGCTAACTCCTGAGTTCCAGGCAAGCTTCCCACACCACTGTTCCTGGGACCCTGCCCTCATATTGGCAGGTGGACAGAAGGCCCTTCTCTAGGCGGGCCCAGGCAGGCTGGGTGAGGGCAGGTGGACAAGGCCACGCTCTTCCAGAAGACGGCTGGAAAACCACGAAGGCAACCCTGAGAGATGCCAGGCACTGGGCATTCGGTCCCAAAAGCCATCTGGGGGCTAAGAACGGAGTGGTAGTGACGGCCAAGGGATGAAGCAGACCCACACAAGGAGGACCTCCAGACCTGTGCCATCCGCCTGGGTGGACAGATGCTGGGCACCCAGCACTGCCCATCTGCGTGACCCAGGTCCAGTGCTCGGGATAGCCAATAGCTGTTTATTGAAAGAAGCAAGGGTGGGGGGCGGGCACCACCCTCAGGCCTGGATGTGGCTCTTGGCGCTAAAGGCCAGGTAGTAGATCACTAAGCCGATGGCTGCGGCCAGGACTTCGGTGGAGACCCAGGGCCCATTCCAGGTACCCTGCAAGAAAGGAGACCACGGTCGTTCCCACAAGGACAGACAGGAGAAGGGGCCAGCCACTCCAGGGGGCACAAAGACACGCCGGCCACCATGGCGCAGCCCCCAGTGCCCCCTCAAAGGCAAGGCTGGCCGTGTGCCCCACCCCTTCCCCTGGGCCGAGCCAGTTCCCTCCTCCAGCTCACCCGATGGTCAACGCTGACCGTGAATAGAGGTGGGATGACGGAAACGTCCTCATTGTTTCTCTGAGCCTGCAAGGGAGGTGCTGGGGTCAGGGGGCTCTGCCGGGTGGGCTGGTCGAGGCAGAACCCTGCCCAGAGTCATGGGAGAAGAGAGGTGGGCAAAGGAAAGAAGGCATGGGGCTAGCTGGGGTGGGTGGTCAGGTAGGAAGGTGTCTACTCACTCATCCTGCTGAGTTGGGGAGGGGGACGGGGACCACAGCGGGGAGACAGCTGTGACTGTGGGCGGCACCCTCTCTCCAATAGGCCTGGTGGTGGGGGGCTTTGGGGACACTCACCTTCCTCAGGAGGCTGTAGGACTCCTCATCAAAGAACCGGACCTCATAGGTGCCTGCATGGGCGCTCTTGTGATCTAGGCTCCAGGAAACCTGGGTGGGGTGCATTTGGCAAGGGGTGGATACAACGGACGTGGTGCTGCTATCAGTGCACAGAGTCCAAGAACCTCAGCTCAGCTGGCCAAGTCGCCCAGGGCTTCAGGCTATGCCTGTGAACAGGTGGCCTCCCCCGGAAGTGATGACCACAGCCTCCCTTACCTGGTAACGTCCCACGTCCTGGCCCCGGGTGACAGGAAATTGTTTTCCACTGACATCAGCATAGAGAGCCATGTTCTGGGGGAGCGGATAAAAAGAGTCACCTTCTCCCCTCTCGGGCGGTCTGAGGTTCTGCTGTGCCCACGGCTTGGGGTAGGAAGGCTGCCAGGCAGAGTCAGGGACTGAGCTGGGTCTGGTAGGGGAACCAGATGAGAACCCTGGGGGCCAGTCTCTCCATGTTGGTCTTGCTCCTTGGGGACCACACCTCCCCACTGGCCTGGCCTCCCTAATCCACAGCAAGCCTGTTAGCTGAACAGGGGCAGGATGACTTTAGTGTTCTCCTTTCTTCTCTGAGTCTGAAAGTGGATACTGGGATCAGGGGCGCCTAAGGAGTTGCCTAAAGAAGGTGGTACCTAAGAAGACCCAATTTCCATCTTTCTTTGGGCCTTCAGGTTGCAGGGGCCCAGGCCAGGGCTGCTCAGTTTTTAAATCACCAAACACCCATGCAGACACACGTTTTGGCCAAGAGCAACCAGAAAGGGGATACAGGAGCCCTGGGGCTGAGCCTGGCTCTGTCCCTTCCCACAAGCACGCTTTCCAGACACAGCAAAGTGTCTACCTACACTGCTGCATTGGGGAGAAGTAGACCTGGCCGGTGAGCTGGATGTTCTTTAATCACCTGTTAGAATCTGGCCTGCCTGTGCCCCAATCTCACCTTCAGCCTGGCAGTGAAACCCTGATGCTTGCTCTGTCCTTGTGGAGCCCCAGGCTCCCTGCCCACCTCTGCCCTCACCCTCTTGGCTGAAGCCCTGCTGCCTCACCTGGACCCTGTTCTTGCAAGTCAAGGAGATCTCCACGATGAAGACAGTCTCAGTAGAAATGACAGCATCCGAGGTGGTATAGTAGGAAGGGGTGATCTGGGGCTCCACACAGGCCTCTGCTGCGGGAAGGGGGCAGAGAGGGAGGGATAAGGCCTGGTTTTCGCTCACTGAGTTGTGGTGCAGAAGGGACCACCCTACCCCACTTCCCAGAGCTTATCTACTAAAGACACAATGGGCCCTTTGGACCCTGACAGGTGGAGTCTGGGAGACAGATCCAAATGACGAATCGGAAGTGCAGGGGTCAAGAGGAGTGGGGTGGCCTTTAAGAAAGGCAGAGAAGGGGATGGGAAGACTTTGTACAGGTGGAACCTCGATGTCAGGGCAAAAGAACAGGTGAGCATGTTGGGGGGTGGGGAGTGCACTGCATGAATTCACTGCACAACTCGACTCTGTGCCTGGACCTACAGACAGAAAAGCCACGCAATGGTTTAGGGATGCAGCCTACCCTGGAACACCCCAAAAGCCCAGGGCCAGGCTGACCTCAATTCAGAGCCACAAGGCCCTAGCTAGTTGACTGAAGGCATGATCTGCAGACATAAAAGCACAAAAAACTATGTGGGCTTCCCACATGAAGGGTCTCTGCCTCAGACAGTTGACAGAAAACCAAGACTGGCCCCAGTGGTTCCCGAGGAAAGGAAATGGGCGATCTGGGTCGAAAAGCACAACTTGTTCCCCTGCTGCCCTCAGAGAAAGGACACACCCTCACCATCTCCACACTGCTAGAGGCCACAGGGAAGGAAAGGTGTCACCGAAACCACCAACCACCAGGCGCCAACTGCTCTAACATGGTGTCACGGCAGGGCCATGATTTGGGCTGAGGCTTGGGATTCAACAGTGGGAGGAAAATGCCTGGGAACGTCGGTGGGAAGTGGTTCTCGGGAGCCATGTTCCCCAGATGCTTCCACACTTTGCCAAGTTTGACATTCTTCCTCCAGACACGGGAAAGCACAGTTTCATAGTCAGGTTTGTCCTTTCCAGGCATCATCGCCTAGAGCCTGGGGAGTTCCTGAGGAGCCAGTGACCAGGATGCGGGGGTGGCCACTGAGACTGATGAAACACTCCAGGCATCAAGGGCGCTGGCCTGAAGTAGGGCAGGTAAAGTGAAAGTGCTCAAAGTGGCCCTAACCCAGTCTAGACCCCCAGGCCCAATGTGGGCTCCTGGAAGGACCTCCTACTAAACACACTTCTGGACTCCGGTGTCAGTTATAACTCAGCCAGGCCACTGTTAACAACCTCTCGAGAATGTGAAGCCATCTGACTCTGCTGAAAAACCCTATACGGATCCAACAAGGCCTTAGGGGACACAAACCAAGCGTCTGATTTAGACACTCATCTTTCCCTCTTCAGGTCTTCTCTAACTCACCTGCACTCTGAGCCCCTCTGCCTGGACCGTCCCTGCTTCCTCGCTTCACTCAGAGCCCCATTCCTAGGGAGGCCTGACCCCACATCGGGTCAGGTGGTTCCTCTCCACCTGCCCAGTTTCTCGCTCTGATCACACTACGCTGCAGAGCTTCACTCCTGTCCGACCGCCCCCTCCCCCCACTGCCAAGACCGGAGGCTCTAGGAGTGGCGGCAGGGACGAGTGTCACTTTCCCTGCTGGAGCTGGGGCCAGGCGCACAGAAAGGCTCTGGGAGTCTTCCTCACTGGAGCAGATGGGGCACAGATCAGGCTGTTTCTTCCAGCAGCTCAGCTGCTGGGTGAACGTGTGTAGTGCACGAAAGCGTAGTAGCCTCGGCCGCCGCGACCAGAGACCACCTGCCTCTCGGAGGGAGAAGGCCCAGACCCCCGCTCTGCTAGCACCCGTCCTCCCCCGACGCACCACCAGTCGTGGGTGAGAGGCTCGCCAGAAAAGAACTCCGGCCAGGCCGCTACCTGAGCAGCAGGAGAGGCCGGACAGCAGCAGTAGCGCCAGAGCGCCGAGAGATGCCAGCGCCGCCATCGCCTGTTCTCTGCCAAGGAAAAAAGAGAGCGGTTAGCCTGAACACGAGGAGCAGACGAGGAAGCGCGACGCGTCAGCTGCTGCCGCAGCCAATCGGGCGCCGGCGGGCTGGGCGGGCCTGTGACGTCACCGGCGGTACTGACGTATCTCCTCCCCGGACCAGACGCCCAGCCGGCTGCCCCCCAAAGATGGCGGCGGCGGCGCCTCTGGCGCCGGAAAAAGGCGTGAGAAACCGGCGCGGCCGTGTGCGTGCGCACTGCCGGGACCACGCCCCCTCCCGAGACGTCGCGCTCTGCCGAGCTCTCGCGAGAGCGGCAGCTGCGTGACGGAACCTGAAGCTGTCTTCACGTTCTGTCATGGCGCTGAAGGTGGCGACGGCCGCGGTCGGCGCTGCGAAGGCAGCGCTCAGGCCGGCCCTCCTCTGGCGTCCTTGGGAGGTGAGAAGGAGGAGCGGCCCATGGGGACAGCCGCCGCGCTCGCTAAGAGGTGTTCGCACCTCGGCGGGGTTAGGCGGGCTACCGCCGCGCTCGGACAGTTCTGGAGCCAGATTGGCTGCGGGCCTCGCGAGGGGAGGGGAGAGTGTCGCGGCCCGGGGTTGATTGGCCACCTCCGCTGTCAGTGAAGAGGTTAGCTGAAGTTGATCCTGGTCTGGCGCTCCAGGAGTCTGCATATGGTGGTAGGGGAGCTCCCGGCGAGCGAGGGGCAGTGTCACTTTCCAGTGTCCTTGTGGGAACCCTCGTGAGGCGGTCGCGTGTCCGGCCCGCCTTCCTCTTGCCCTCTTGGGAATCCGTTCCCTGCTGCCTGTCCTCCTCGGGTTTCCCTCTTATGAACCGCTTTGCCACCTCTCCCTGTGGAGGTGGCCAATCGGACTTTTAGGTGCCCCAGGGGCTTTCCCCACCCTGCAGGCGCTGGGAATGGAAAGGAGCTAGGATTCCTGAAGCTGGCAGCGGGTCGGGAGGCCGCGATGGCTTTGCTTCCGTCGTTCTCCGTTTAGGATCTTGCTTATTAGGGTCTGATTCCTCTTGTGACACACTTTCATGAGGATAGTATAGTCCCTAGGTGGGTGGGAATTCCGAAGCGTCATCAAGTCAGGACTGGCCCGGAGGGATGAGAGGTCTGACCTGCCTCTCTGGGCTCCAGTTCCCCCTCGCTGTCAAAGGATCCACCCACCTCTGACCTTCCAGAACTCAGTGACTTTGCTGACACTCCTTGTGGTCACATCTCCTGGCATGCTTTCCCCCTCTGAGCCCTTGGGAAGGCTGGCCTGTCACAATTTCTGCCTTATTAAATTCTGTTTAAAGTGCTGACTTCTCCCACTTGGTGGAGAGAGGCTTTCTAAAGGTCCCTGGCTGCTAGGCACTTGCAGGATCTTGGTGGGGACATTTGTCTCCTTTCTGACCTCCCCTGTGTGTGTACTTGTGTTCATATTGGGGCAGGGATGAGGAGACTGAAAGGCTGCTAGCTGAACAATGCCTTGCCCTGAGACTGGTTGTCTTGGGTATGGGAACCTTTAGAGATGAAGCCCGGATCTTTGGTCCCAATTAGTGGGACCTTATAGGAAAACATGCAGACACCATTGGTACTTGATCCAACAGAAACATGCTGAAGAGAGAAACTTCACTAAAGTGCAGCACGGGAGCCCTTTGGTTGAACCACATACCATTCTGGACTGCTTTCTGTGGTACTGTCAAAGGACAACGGTAACAGTCCACCTTCCTGCTTGATGAACAAGCTGGAGATCAATGCGTGTATCACATCTTGCCTGGTCCTGGGGTCCTTTGATGGGTAGGTTCACAGAATCTTTGTAACTCCCTGAAGGAAGGGGCCTGAGTCTGTCCAGAGCAAGGTCAGGAAAGTCGCTATCCCGAGAGCTCTCCGGGTCTTTGGCCAAAGCTGGATGGAACATGTAGCATTGGGACCAGGTGAGGGAGAGGTTCAGCCCTGGTGGTAGTCATGGGACCCACGGTCTGGTGGGGTGTCCTTGCACTGAAATAGAGCCAGGCCCAGTGTGAGTGGTGGCTTACAATCGTGGCCAGGATACCTGCCCTGTGCTCGTGGGCCTCAGAGCTGGAACCCAGGAGGAATTAGCTGGCAGCCATAGGGGCCAGCCCAGCATCTCTTCATTGGTCACCAGCCTTGCACACTGGCCTGAGGGGCTGCTGAGGTGAAGGGGATCCCTCATCCCTCAGCTTGGGACTGAACAGCTTGCATACCTCTTTTTGCTTAATGCTTCCAGTGGTCAGATAAAGTAGGCACCCCTGTTCCATGGATTTCAGGTAAGGGGAAGAAGCTTAGCAAGGTTAAGCTGTTTGCCACCAGGAGTAGTAGACAGAGGCTTTGGACTGAGGTCTCCCTAGCCTCAGAACCTGCCTTATCTTTCTTCATCTTCTGATGTGTTCATTTCAGTCAAGAAATGTGTTTCATGTCCCAGCTCTGAACTAGGCATTCTCCTGGGTCCTGGAGTGATAGCAGGAGATCAGACAGACATGGCATTCACTATGTGGGGCTCAAGTGTTGGAGAAGGAGTGAGGCAGCTGTAACCTAGGGAGATAGGGATTGGGAGGAAGGGAGTGAGTAGGGCTTTGTAGCCCAGGGGAACCAGCAGCTCAGCAGCCTTAGGGCATCAGGGAAGGCTTCCTGAAGGAAGGGCAATCTAAGCCACCATGCGCAAGTTTGTGTTGAGAGCCTATAGACAGATGAATCTAGATACTGACAGTTGCAAGAAGGCAAACAGAAAAATCCCAAGTGTGTATCTGGCTCCTGATCCGGGGGCTCTGTGGATCAGTAGAAACCCAAGGAGCATCTTGTCCTGTTCTTCACCCCCTTCCTAACTCCTGTGCCTACAGAGCTTTGTGCAAGTGGGTACCTTGTGAATACCAGCCGGAAAGACCCAGATGGGATGGTTAGCCTCTGCCTGAGCTTTCTAGACTCCTAGCAGGAAGGCAAGGCTCTTTGAAAAATGGCCACGGTGACTGTGTCATTGACTGGCATCCTCTGCTGCTCCCCCAACAGGCAAGTGGCAGGGCATCCCTGAGTGAGAAGGCGGGACTGTGGCTTGGTCCCCACCTCTTTGCATTGAGGGGCATGCAGGTGGGGCCCCCAGGAAGGAAAGTGTGGGCCTATAGCCCCCTGTGGCAGGAGCTGGGACCTGGGCTTCTTCCTCCAGGGAAGTGTGGGGACTCCAGATGGGTCCCTCTGAGCACCTGTCCATTTGACTCAAGTGGCTGTTGCTCTGAAGCTCTCAGGTGTAGCAGTGACATGACCACATGTGGCCATTGCGAGTGGGGGGTTGGAGACATCTGTCATCCATGCAGGCCATGATGCAGCTTTGCAAACCTTTATGAAGGCCTTGATTAAGGATGAGCATCTGCTCTTCTGATCCTAGAGGGCTATTCCCCATGAGGCCAGTAGGGCTCATCTCTGGCTGGGGAGAGGGCTGGGTGCTATCTTTTCCCCTCTGGTTTCCATGATCCAGATCGTCGCCATGTTTTGACCATATGCTGCTTTTGTAATAAGGAGACGTAATGGGAAAAAAGGATGTGGATGATGGTCATGGTAGCCCTGTGGTTTGCTATTATGGTTTCCGTTTTGTACTGTGTTGAGTGTGCCAATTTCTGCTCACTCAACAGACCTCTCTGAGCAGGAAAAATTTTCTGAGAAAACTCAGAAACAGCTAAAGGTGAGGAGGGAAGCATCAACATTTCTGTAAATGTCTTTGGACAGTGGAAGCTCCAGAACCACAGGGCCTGTCTGGGCATGGTGGGGGTGCCCACCTCCCCTGCCAGGAGCTCGGCTGACCCTGGCCAACTTGACAACAACCATTTTCATCTGGGTTCTCTCTGGCAGGTTCTAGGTGCCCACGAGGCCCCCCGGAGGAGCTTCTCAGTAAGTAACCTGCCCTAGTGCATATGGGCACGTGTCTGTCTGTACATGTGTGCAGAGGTGTGGGTGTGCAGATGCGTGCGGATGGGTTTGTGGGCACCTGGGGTGCAGAGGGGTGTGTATGTGGGCATGTGTGTGTGCCACGCCTCTTGGCTCCATCCCCTCCATGTCTCCCCTGAGGTGCAATCTCCACCTCTCCTCCTTCCCTCCTCTCCTCTCCTCCTCCCTGAACCCTGGGGGCAAGGCCTGGTTTTCCGGGCCCTGCCTTGTTCTTCTAACCGCGACTGATCTGTGTCTTCTTCCTTCCTGTCCCCCCCTCTAGCAACAAACAATTGTGAGTATCCTTCCGGTCTGCCTGTTTGTCAGGTTGGGGGCTTTTAGTGGCTTTGGGGTTGACCCAGGTCCAGGCGGAGGTGGGACCGGCTTCTGTGGTTGCCCTCCTGACATGGGGGGACTGCAATCCCCCATGAGCAGCACTGCACCGTGGGTGGGGCAGGGCATATGGTTGGGATACCCTGAGCTGGCACCTCCCAATTGGCTGGCCCACTGGGTCAGGGCTTGAGGGAGGAAGGGAACTGAAGGCCTGCCCTCCTCCCCCTCCCTTCCAGCCCCCGTCAGCAAAGTATGGTGGGCGGCACACGGTGACCATGATCCCGGGAGATGGCATTGGGCCAGAGCTCATGCTGCACGTCAAGTCGGTGTTCAGGTACAGAGCCCCCTGGGCCCAGCCAGGGGGGACCCTGAGAACTGGGCACCACAAGGGTAGCGAGCCAGTGGCGGGCAGCCCCTTGTTCTGGTGCCTGCCCTCCTGCCAGGCTGAGCCAGGTGAGGGGAAGGGTGGAACCCGAGCGGCCCATGCCGTCATGGAGTGTCAGGGCACCCCCATCAGCTGGCTCAGTCTCTCCTTGGCCAGAGCCTGGGCAGAGTGGGCAGCAGCAGAGGAGAGACCCCCGCACTCTGTGGTAGGGGCCTGGGGTCACCATCCTGATCCCGCTCTGCCGCAGGCATGCATGTGTGCCTGTGGACTTCGAAGAGGTGCACGTGAGCTCCACCGCCGACGAGGAAGACATCCGCAATGCCATCATGGCCATCCGTCGGAACCGCGTGGCCCTGAAGGGTGAGACTCCCTTGTGAGCTCACCCTTGTCCCTGGGCGCCCATGGGTGCTGCACCTCGGTGGTCTTGGTGTTTCTGGCCGCTGCGGGAGCCTGCCCAGGCATGGGCTTCCTCCCGCCCGGGGCCACCCTCTCTGCTGGAGTCAACTGTGGCTCTCAGGGTCTTCCTTCACACACCAGGTGTCACACCGATGCAGGTTTAAGCCCCCACAGGTGGCCTTGGCTCCAGTCGGCACAGCTGTGGAAGTTACAGCTGGGAGCTTGACCTTTGCTGAGTGTTCCTTGGTTGGGTCCAGCTCCTTAAACTGTTTCCATCACTCATTTTGCACACTTGAGCCCATCACCTGCTCTATAAGAGCAGTGAGCGAGCTGAGACGAAGGTAGAGACGCAGGCCCTGGCTGTCGCCTGGAGGGGCTGACATGCCAATGATAGGGTGCCTGAGGCAGCCCTGGGGGGACCTGAGAAGGGCCCCCTCGACTTGGCATCCTCTGACCGCCTTCTTTCAGGGGCACCTGGCCTTCTTGGTGCCCTGGTTCCAGCCAAGTTGAAGCCGTGGTCTTTTACAGGCAACTCCTGCCTGCCCCCAAGCTGGAGCTCTTGTGGCACCTTGACACAAGGCCTGGCATGAACCCTGGGCAAATTGCCCTTGCAGCTTGATCCTGGCCTTGTCAAGCCTCACCCAGGGTCTAGCAAGACCTTCTGGCTAGCTGCCAGCTGTTTTCATCCCTTTCTTCATTCAATATTTATCGAGCGTCTGTTACATGCCAGGAAGCTATCAGTGAACCCAACAGACATCCATCCGCCCTCATGGTGTTTTGACTGCAAGTGTGCTAGGGTGTTCTTTGAAGCCCTGCTCCCACCAGCTCAAATGTGGGAGTACAACAGAGCCAGGGCCCCTCTCCAGCCTGCTGGTCTTGTTTCTGTCCTGCAGGCAACATTGAAACAAACCACAACCTGCCCCCATCCCACAAATCGCGAAACAACATCCTTCGGTGAGAGCCAAGGGTGCAGCATGGGTGCTGGGTGGGGATGGTGGTGGCTGCGGCCAGCTGATCTGATTTGGTGCGCCTGCAGCACCAGCCTGGACCTCTATGCCAACGTCATCCACTGTAAGAGCCTGCCAGGTGTGGTGACCCGGCATCGGGACATTGACATCCTCATCGTCCGGGAGAACACAGAGGGCGAGTACAGCAGCCTGGAACACGAGGTGAGTGGGGCATGGGGGGCACCTGGCTAGGCCTGTGGTCAGGAAGGCCATGCCTGGAGAGAACCTCATGCCAGAGGGCAGGCTCTGACAGGATATGGGTCTCCGGACCCTCCTCACCTTCCCAGAGTGTGGCAGGTGTGGTTGAGAGCCTGAAGATCATCACCAAGGCCAAGTCCCTGCGCATCGCTGAGTACGCCTTCCAACTGGCCCAGGAGAGCGGGCGCAAGAAAGTGACAGCCGTGCACAAGGCCAACATCATGTATGTCCCCCACGCCACACCTCCACGCTGGGGCCTGGGCCTGCTCTCAGTGCACATGTCGGAGGGAGGTGGAATGGGATTCTGCCCACTCTGCAGACGGAACTGGTGGTTCTGTGGCACCCGTGAATCCCGTCCCTCTGGCGGGCAGTGGCTGTGGCCAAGCCAGTGTCCTGCATTCCCCTAGGAAACTGGGTGATGGGCTCTTCCTCCAGTGCTGCAGGGAAGTGGCAGCCCGCTACCCCCAGATCACCTTCGAGAATATGATCGTGGACAACACCACCATGCAGGTAGTTGGGCTGCCATGCTGCACAGGCCCCTGCCCTGGGTGCCTGGGCCTACTGGTGCTCCAACTCCTGACTGCTCCTCCCTGCCTCACAGCTGGTGTCCCGGCCCCAGCAGTTTGATGTCATGGTGATGCCCAATCTCTATGGCAACATCGTCAACAACGTCTGTGCCGGGCTAGTTGGGGGCCCTGGCCTTGTGGCTGGGGCCAACTATGGCCATGTGTATGCCGTGTTTGAGACGGTGAGTGCCACCAGCGTTGCCAAGGCCATGGGCCTTTGTGAACTAGAGCTCAGTTCAGTCGGTCAGTCATGTCTGACTCTTTGCGATCACATGGACTGCAAGCATGCCAGACCTCCCTGTCCATCACCAACGCCCAGAGCTTGCTCAAACTCATGTCCATCGAGTCAGTGATGCCATCCAGCCATCTCATCCTCTGTTGTCCCCTTCTCCTCCTGTCCCCAATCCCACCCAGCATCAGGGTCTTTCCCAAATGAGTCAGTTCTTTGCATTACGTGGCCAAAGTATTGGAGCTTCAGCTTCAACATCAGTCCTTCCACTGAATATTCAAGACTAATTTCCTTTATGATGGACTGGTTGGATCTCCTTGCAGTCCAAGGGACTCTCAAGAGTCTTCTCCAACACCACAGTTCAAAAGCATCCATTCTTTGGCTCTCAGCTTTCTTTATGGTCCAACTCTCACACCCATACGTGAAAGTTAAAGTGGAGTCGCTCTGTTGTGTCTGACTCCTTGCGACCCCGTGGACTGTAGCCTGCCAGGCTCCTCTGTCCATGGGATTCTCCAGGCAAGAACACTGGAGTGGGTTGCCATTTCCTTCTCCAGGGGATCTTCCTGACCCAGGGATCGAACCTGGTCTCCATCATTGCAGGCAGACTCTACCATCTGGGCCACCAGGGAAGTCCACATACATAACTACTGAAAAAACCATAGCTTTGACTAGACGGACCTTTGTCGACAAAGGTCGGCAAAAAACTATAGTTCATACATTTTCTAGTTCAGTCATTGAAAGTAAGCGATTTAGTAGTTTCTAGAATATTCAGAATTGTGCAGACACCCTCACTAATTCTAGAACATTTTCATCACCATAGAGAGAAATCTTGTAGGCCCTCGCCCTCTGCGATAGCCCACGCTATAGAGTGTGCTTCTCTCTGAATCTGAATAAAGCCACTTCTTACTTACAAAAAAAAAAAAAAAAGAAATCTGGTAATTGTGGCCAGCATTCTCTGTCCCCTACCCCCCAACCCCTGGCACCAATCTCATCTGCTCAGTCTCTGGATTTGCCTGTTCTGGACAGTTCACACCAATGCAGGGTACCCTTGGCATTCTTACATTCACCAGTCCCCTCCTTTTTCATATCACCTCTTCCAGGCTACAAGGAACACAGGGAAGAGTATTGCCAATAAGAACATTGCCAACCCCACGGCTACGCTGCTGGCGAGTTGCATGATGCTTGACCACCTCAAGTAAGTGGCTTCTCAGTGCCCGGCCATCAGCCCCCAGACTGCGTCCAGAGGACTGAACTCTGTTCTTCCTCCTCAGGCTCCACTCCTATGCCACCTCCATCCGCAAGGCTGTCCTGGCATCCATGGACAATGAAAACGTGAGCCCCCCCCCCAAACCCCAACCCCCGCCCAGGTTGAGCTGATAGGCCGCCCGAAGGGCTGGAAATGGTGAACTAGCGCCACCACGAGGAGGGTGACACCAGGTTGGCTGGGCCTTTTGGGCCTTAGCTGGTACCACGGCCCGCCTGGTGACCCTTCTAGCTCCTGCAGGCCGCAGAGTGTAGTGGGCAGCCCTGGGCCGCCTGCAGGCCAAGGCTCAGGGATTGGCCGGATCCTATCGTGTGCCCAAGCTTGCCTGTCTCCTGTAGATGCACACCCCAGACATCGGGGGCCAGGGCACCACGTCGGAAGCCATCCAGGACATCATCCGCCATATCCGCGTCATCAATGGCCGGGCAGTGGAGGCCTAGACTGTCCCCGGGACTGTGGAGGCCCACTTTTCAGACCTTCTTGGCGCCTCCATCACCCTGGCTGGCTCAGCGGGCGGACCCAGAATAAACCCACTTCCTCCCCAGCCCTTGGCGGCGTGCTTTTGTCACTATGGACGCGGGTGTTTCAGGTCACACTTTATTAAGAAAAGAAACAGCACACTTCCCATTCAGAGGGCCCCTCTGTGAGGGTTGGGGGGCAGAACACATTCTGAAAGGCCAGGGCCTGGCCCCAGCAGATCCCTCTGTCCTGCCCCTCCCAGGTGGGTATGAGAAAGCTCCCACTCAGCAGGGTGGGCAGGAACTGTCCTGCTTTCCCTGAAGGCACTGGGGGCCAGGGGGTTGGGAGGGAGCCGGGCCTGCCCCAAGCTGCCCAAGGTGCCCGCGGGGCCTAGGGATTGAGCCAAGGGTGCTGCAGGCAGTCGGCTGCGCTGGCCCGCTTTTCGGGGATGTATTCCATCATGGGCAGCAGGAAGGCGCTGAACTGCGTGGCCTGCTCCAGGGGCCACTCATACTTCTCCATGAGCACCTCGTACAGACCCCAGTGCTTGAGGTTGTGGATATGCCGCAGCTCCCCTGGGGGCAGGCCGGCACACCGCAGGTCAGCCTCCGCCTGGGAGGCCTATCATCTGACACCCCTCGCTGGCCCCCAAGTTCCCACCCCGCCTCTCCATCCAGGTGGCCCCACCTCTCCGGTTGAAGAACTCCCGGGAATAGCGGCCCGAGAGGGCGAAGGCTGGGGGGATGTCTCCTAGCAGCTCCACGATGTGGGCGATGTGGTCTGTGGACAGAAAGGGAGCCAGGAGGTCGGCCAGGCAGCCGGGAGGTCCCAAAGCTGGACCCTAGGGTTCGCCACCTCCTACCCTCATCACGACTGTAGTCTTCTCCCGAGTGTGGTTCGAACAGGTAGTCACCAGTGGCCAGCTCAAAGGCCTGGAAAGGGAAGAGAGTAAGGTGGTTCGCCCCAGTGAGTCTGCCTGGGTGGGGGACAGCTGCAAGCAGACATACCATGCACGCCGTGCTCCAGATATCAGCCGGGGGCCCATACTCGGCGCCGATCAGCACCTCCACAGCCCGGTACTGCCGCGTCTGGATGTCCTCGGTGAAGTGCTTGTGCTGGAGGCAAGGCAAGCCCAGGGGAGGGGCTGGGGCCAGGGCTGGCCTGCCCTTTAGTGGCCCCCCACGTGTCTCCCACCTCCTGTGGGCCCATGCACCCCAAGAGCATCATGGGGCTCGCTCTGGGCATCAGGGGCCCCCCTTGTCCTAAGGGCCTGGCAAGGTGACCTGAGACTGAGGCCGGCCCCTGCACCATGGCTGTCCACACCCGCCCGTGGGCCCAGTCCTGCCAACCAGGTGGGAGAGGTGCTGTTTTGGGCTCAGCCTTGGAACTGCAGCCTGAGGCAGGTGTGGGGGTCTAGTCAAGCCCTGGGGACCAGCGTCGTTCATAACAGGGTGCCTGCTCATACCACCCAGCAGGCGTTGCCCAGGTCTGCGATCTTGATCTTGATCTTGTCTGCATTTTGGGGCTCTAGGGGGTTCACCAGGAGGTTGGAGGCACCAAACGGTGCTGGGGAAGCAAGAGAAGGGAGATTGGCTGAGCTGGTCAGACACTGGCCTGGCCCTACCCACTGCCCACTGTCCTGGTCCCACTTACTGCTGGGGGAGAGGAGGCCGCCAGCCTCCCGCTGGTTGGATGAGCCTGAGAGGATGGAGCACGACGCGGGGGAGAAGAGGGAGCCCGAGAAGCCTGAGGTCTGGGAGCCCGGGCTGAGGCTTCGGTTGCCCCCAGGGGCCGAGGACGAAGAGGCCGGTGAGGGGTCAGCCCCTGCGCCGCCCAGGTGGCAACCGGAAGAGGACGTGGAGCCGCTGCCCGCCTCGAGTCTGGAGCCGGAGTCTGGGGAGACAGGCAGAGGTGCTGAGTGGGCAGCTGGCCCCGTGGCTGCTGGCCCGCTCCCTGCTCCCATCCTCACCCTCGGCCTGGGCCGCGGCCTCCATGGCCTCCAGCTTCTGCAGGTCACGCAGCCGCTCCTCCAGCAGCCGCTTCTGCTGTTTCCGCTTGCGCCGCATCTTCTTCCTCTTGTTTTTAGACAGCTTCCCCGTCTGCCGAGAGAGCCAGGGTCAGCCCGGGGGTGCCTGGAAACCAGCCGCAGAGCAGCCCGAGCCTGTCCACGGGGCCCCCCACAGGGGACAAGGTCTGTGGGTCCCAGGACTCCATGGCCACCAGGACGTGGTCCTGCCACCTCAGCCACCTCCTGGGTCCCCTCCTGCCCTCCACTCTCAGAGCTGGAGGCCAAGGAGGAACCAAGAAGCCTCTGGCTGGGCACCAGCCTCCCCTGGGGCCAGCTGTAAACACATTGTCCTTCTGTGGAGGTGGTGGTGAGCCCCAGTGGCCACTAAGGGCTGTTTAGGGCTTGTGGCCCCCTCTGTATCGCCCTCATCCAGGCCACCTGGCCTTTTGGAAATGCCCCTGCAGGAGTGTTGGGCAGTGGGGAGAGTTAGGGAGAAGGGGGAACCAGAGGCTGAGAAGTGAGCTCTGAGCAGATGAGAAAATGAGGCCTAGAAAAAGAGGCAGCCCAACTTACCAAGACCTCCTGGGGGGCGGTGCTGACTGTGGTGGAGCAGGCAGAGCCGGGAGGAAGAGAGAGGAACCGAGACTCAGGTTGGGGCTGAGGCCCACAGGCCCCACCCCAGCCCCACGCAGGATCTGGGTACCTGTGGAGCGGGATGGGGGTGGTGCCCCTGACTGTTGCCACTCTGTGGCCTCAGCGGCCAGGCGCCGGATGTAGGCATCCCCCACACACAGCAGGATGTTCTCGGGCTTGATGTCCGTGTGGATGATCTTGCACTTGGTGTGGAGGTAATCCAGGCCATGCAGCACCTGGAGAGAGCCAGTCCTGAAGTCCACCCACCCTTCCCTGGCTGCCTGCCACAGGGCTCTTCCTGCTGGACTCAGGAAGAGCTCACCTGCCTCACGATGCTCTTCACACAGGGCACGGGCAGGCCCTGGTAGTTGGACTTGATGATCCACTTGAGTAGCTGGTGGCCAAGGACCTCCAACACCATGCACACATCTGGGGCCAGGAGTGAAGGGCAGCTGCTGGGCATGCAGCTGGGGCCCAGGTCCTGCCCACCCTCAGCTGGGGTGGGGGTGCCCCGAGGCTCAGGCAGCATAGAGCTGGGTCTGGGAGGTCCTGTATCACCACCGTCCCAGTGGTGCTTTAGTGGCCCTGTCACTCTCTGGTGTGCCAGTTGGCACCATACTTTCTGTGGTCTTCCTAGGGACAGGGCACTGGAGGAGTAGACAGAGGTTTCTCAGAATAACCCCAGTCCTGTGCCCAGGTCTGCCCAAGAGCCTATTGACAGCCCCTCTGAAAGGGAAGGCACACAGAGAGGGTTCCTCCCACTTGCAGGTAACCTAGCCATGTGTTGCCAATGCCAACCTGGTTATCCGCTCCACCCCCCCAGGCCCAGACACAAACCCCTGAAGTGGTGGGGGTATTTCATAGACTAGTGTCTTTGGAAGGGATAAACCACCCATCACACAGATCAGCAAACTGAGGCCCCTGGAGCCAGAAGGCACCAGCCAGTTAGCTCCTGCTGAGATGCCACACTTGCTTGCTCAGCCTGCAAAGGATACGGACTCCATTAACCCCTGAGATCCTGAAGTCATCGATGAGCTGGACAATGGTTTCTCTTTTGGGGTCACTGGGGTCACTGTCTCGGACCTGCATTAAAACCCAAGGGGCCACAGATGGCTTCAACCTGCCCCTCACCGGCTGCTCCCCCGGGGCGGGCGGCCCCTTCGGCCCCCCTGTCCCACTGTTCTTAGGCCTCACTGGAATAAAAGCTTCAGGCCCGCCCTCCGGGTCCTCCCCCTCAGCTGAGCCAGCTGGAGCCTGACCCTGTGGGCACCCCGCCCCGGCCCGCAGAGCCCGGCAGGCCTTGCACCCACATTGCCAGGCCCCAGGCGGCTCCCAGGGAGCTGGGAGTGGGTAGGGGAGGCGCCTCACACATTTCAGGAGCTTGATCTCATCTACAGCTGTCTCCGTGTAATGCCCCGCGCTCTTCACCACTTTGAGAGCCACGAAACGCTTGCGCCTGCAACACCGAGAGCCGCGTCAGCCATGGGCACCAGGCAGACACATGGGGCCCTCACCATAGCCGCAGGCATGCCCAGGGGCAGGATCCCAGCTGGCATGGAGCCTGGGGTGGGGGGAGGTGGGTGGGTGAGGGAAGACTCACTGTATGTCCCAGCAGAGCCAGACGGTGGAGAAGTGGCCCCAGCCCAGCTTGCGCACCACGTGGTACCGCCCATTGAACAGGTCCCCGATTTTCACAGGGTAGTAGCCGCCTGGGGAAGGGAGCCCACAAAGGCCGCTGTGGGTGGTGCCTCGCCCCTGCCCTGGCACAGCGCAGCCCTGCCGGGCCCCCCTGGACCACGTGGGCGGGCTCCAGGCCCCCTCCTCCTCCTCCCCAGGGCCTCACCCTTGCAGTAGTCCTTGGGATCTTCCTGCTCCTCGTCATCGGAGCCCAGCAGCCCCTGCAGCATCTGCGCGGGGGCGGCAGGGGCCAGTTCGGAGCCAGATGATTCAGGCCCGCAGGAGGCCTGCGAGCTGTGGGTGGGGCGGGCAGGCAGTGAGCGCGCGGGCCGCCAGGGGCCCCAGGCAGCCTGGCCCAGCCTTACCTGCTGCTGCTGTCGCTGTCGCCACCGCCGCCACCGCTCGCGCTGGCGCTCATTCTGGCTGCGCTGCCCGCAGCTCCGGTGCCCCGGGCGGCCCCTCCTCTGGGGCCTGGCCGCAGCCCGAGCATTTATAGCCTCGGCCGCTGATCTCACCCGCCTTTATAAATAGCCTCCCAGCTGCTCAGCTGTGGGCAAGGTATGCAGCGGGGAGGGGGCGGCGCGGTGACGGCGGCCCTTGAGGGCCCGATCCCCCAGGACGAGCCCCCTGCCCCCATCCCAGGGCTGGCTGAGGGCGCCGCCGCGGGAACACGGTGTGCCACTGCCTCCCCGGGGAACTCCCTGGCACCCTAGGACCACCACACCGGGATGTGGTGACCTGGACCCCGGTCTAAGCTCCTGCACCCC